CCTGGCGGTCGTATATTACTTTAGAGTAACTACGCTGCAGGTTTACTGTGAAATTATCAGAACTGACTGGGTTATTTGCCATTATATTCCTGTTGCTATCACGAGCCACTGCAGCCGCAGCCGAGCAGGGCGCCGCCATCATGACCTTGTTGAGAGAGCTGAAGCGCCATTCAGGTATCTTCTGACCAACAAACTGAGTCAGGACCACTTGGAGTTCTTCTTTTCTGCCGCAAGAACTAGGGGTGGCCACAATAAGAACCCAAATGCCAGGCAGTTCAGGGGGGCCTACAAACTTCTACATGTGAGGCACAAGTGAAAACAGGCAACTGTTTACTTTGAGACAACACCCACATTCTCAACCCGACACCTGCAGCTGGTTGAGGTGGAAGTGCCAGAAGATGATACCATCCCTGACCTCCCAAATGTACCCTGCCTCTCTGAATACAAAGAGGCAGTAATTATACATCACAGGATTTATAGTAAAGAAGATGAAAGAGAAGATCACCTGCTTACCGTGCTCACAGGCTTTAACAACTGATAACGCTGCACACAGTTTTATTTGTCAGAAGAGTAGAGGTGGTCTCCAGAAACCTTCACCAGGCATGGTGTCTCTGTCTTTGATGACTGAGAAATGCATTCAGAGGAGGATCAAAATGAATGGAGGTCAGCTTCCATGTGGACGTGGAATCACATCGACCATTGTTACCCAAGTTCTTGCAGAATGTGTTGAGAAAGATCTTTTCCCACATCTGCACGGCCATATGTTTGACACGTGTTGAAGTCAATCATATTCATGTATTGGTGAAAATGGCCTCCTCCTGGTATTGCAAAGTTAGATTCAGTCACTTTGCAAGAAGAGAAACTGAAATGACAAAAAGTGGCAAGATGGTTCGCAGACAACTGACCAAACTGATCCACTTTTATGGTGAAGAGGATATGTTGCTTTAAACAACTGATCATTATGATTTACAGTCCGCATAAACAGGACTGAATCATAGAGAAGCCTCTCCCCAATGATCCTCTTAAATATAAATGTAAATGAACTTTTTACTGCGGTATCTAAATAAGTTAACAAATTCAAGTTCTAAGCAAAGTCTGTTGGCATGTTTGCACTTTAGAGTTTAAAGTTCATATAAGTTATAAAATAAATAAATAAAAACTTCCCTTTGTTCTACAGAAAGAGAGAAAACATAGGTTTTGTAGGTTTGCACATTTTAGAGTTTGTAAGTATTTGAATACAATACATGTCAAATAAAAAAGTTTATAAATAAAAATTTAAATTACTCTGCTCATCAATGTAAATATTGTACATTTATAGTTCTGTTGCATTTGTTGTGTCCACATATGTTTTTGATTGTATTTGCATGTGTCCTGTCTGAGTTTGTTTTGTTTGCCAAGTATGTCTTGTCCCGTGTCCCGTGAAGGAAAGCACACATTATTTATTTCACTTCATGAATTTTAATATTTATTTGTTAAACATTTATTTTTGTGCCGTTTTTATGCCTTCATTAGAGAGACAAGGCCGTGGACAGAGCCGGGAATCGAGGGGGAGAGCGGGGAACGACACACAGGAACCACATGGCTGCCTGCCCTGAGGACCATGGCGTCTGCACATAAGGCCCCTTCCACCTTTTATTTAAATGGCATTGTACTACATCAGATATACTTTTTGACTTTAGATACTGTAATTCAGATTTTTAAAATTGGTAATGTCCATTTGTCTTTCTCTGTCCTAGGCTCACTGCAGATTTGAAGAGAGAAGAAACTTGGCTTCCATATATGAGCTATACAAGTCCAAAAATATATCACTCTTTCAGGTACATTCTGCATTACTTTTATTATTAATGTCTCTTAGCACAACCCTCTGATTTATGCCTCTAAGACTGATCCTGTTGTTTCCATTGTTTAACTGTTGTGACCCTGTTTAAAACATAATCAATCATTATTTGTATAGCACCAATTCATAAAAAGTGTTATCTTGAGATGCTTTACAGAAGAGCATATGGGATAATGGGATCGATGCAGTGTGTGCCCTTGATGACAATAACTAATCAGACCTATTTTTGTACGAGGCTGTAAACTTGTTATTTCTACTCTGAAACAGTCTATTTTGAACATGTTGTGTATTTGACTTGCTGTGTTCCTGGAGCCAGCCTCAAGCGGACACTTGACAAACTGCAGGATTTTTCACTTCCACATTGGCTTCATTTATTGCCGCTTGTCCGTAATACTACAAATAAGGGTCTTCAGATATTCATTTTATTTTTAATATGAAGGAAAAGAAAGTTCAGAATCTGGAATTTGTTCGAAGTAACCCAAACAGATTAAACCGTGAAATATAGTTGCATGTACCTTATTGATTATCTGACGCCCCCTACTGGTTTTATAGTGCAACTTGCCAATTAAGTACTGAATCAGTATCAGTCTACAACCCAGAGCCGGCCCTAGCCATTTTGGTGCCCTAGGCAAGATTTTGGAGCCAGTTTGACCACCAAAGACAATATTCATCCACTTAAGAAAACTGGCCTACAGCTTTATATTTAATAGACTGTCTTTATTTAAAAAATAAAAAATACTTATAGACAAACATTTATAAAATGGTAATAACACTAATATTTCTTATAAGTAAATATAAAATAAAATAAATACAAATAACTAGTGTAACAGAACAAACAATACCAAACAGTGCAGAGAGCAGAAGTGGTCACAGGCGGCCCAGGGACAGCAGGGGATGGATTTAAATGTTTCTGATTGAATCTGGAGAGAGAAGATGAGCATTTGTGAAACAATCTGCATTTTATAATATAGTGTTTTATTTAAATATTATTTTCTCTTCTGAGCAGTACAGAAAAGTCAACTCAGTAGTTTTCCTTTCAACCAGACCTACAGCATGCACACATATCTATTCAGAGAGGACTTCAACCAGACCTACAGCATGCACACATATCTATTCAGAGAGGACTTCAACCAGACCTACAGCATGCACACATATCTATACAGAGAGGACTTCAACCAGACCTACAGCATGCACACATATCTATTCAGAGAGGACTTCAACCAGACCTACAGCATGCACACATATCTATTCAGTGAGGACTTCAACCAGACCTACAGCATGCACACATATCTATACAGAGAGGACTTCAACCAGACCTACAGCATGCACACATATCTATACAGAGAGGACTTCAACCAGACCTACAGTATGCACACATATCTATTCAGAGAGGACTTCAACCAGACCTACAGCATGCACACATATCTATACAGAGAGGACTTCAACCAGACCTACAGCATGCACACATATCTATTCAGAGAGGACTTCAACCAGACCTACAGCATGCACACATATCTATTCAGACAGGACTTCAACCAGACCTACAGCATGCACACATATCTATTCAGTGAGGACTTCAACCAGACCTACAGCATGCACACATATCTATTCAGACAGGACTTCAACCAGACCTACAGCATGCACACATATCTATTCAGTGAGGACTTCAACCAGACCTACAGCATGCACACAGACATCAATACTCTAAAGGCAAGAGCTTAAAACTATTAATGACAACAGGAGGAGGAAAATAAACATTTTAATGTAAAATAAATATAAAAGTAGGTTTTGTGTCCCAAACAACGTAGCCTGCTATACAAAAGAAGAAGTGTATTACTGGTTATTTTCTTAACATGAATAATCTTAACCTAATAAAAGTACAGTGGAAATAACAGATGTTAACTCGAGCTAGGAAACACTAGCTAGGAAAATAAAGCTTTTTTAAATGTGATAGTTGTGTTTTCATGGCTTCTTTTGGATCATAACTAAATAAAAGCATGAAAATGATATTAGATAAATAATATTTAAACAAATTTTTCCTTCTATCTATTTCTTCTTATCTTCAACTTTTCTGCAGCACCCTATTAAGGCTGGTGCCCCGAGCATTTGCCTATACTGCCAATGCCACGGGCCGTCCCTGAATACAGGGGCCAAAAATTCAATTGCAGCCAGAATGCTGAGGGAAAATGGCGGTATTTACATACATGAATGCCCCTGCCATATTATTCACAACACTGCCAAACATGCAGGGCAGAGGTTTTTGGAAGTAAGTTCAAACATGTACACTTTATATTACCAATCTGTTAAGTACAATGCCAAGTAAAAAAGTTTGCTGTATAGTTTTGTAATAAATGTTTTGCAGATATCCGGATTTGATCCAGAGGATCTGACTGTGGATGTTGGGTACTGGTTTAAGGGCAGCACCAACTGTAAACCATTACCTGGCAGGTTTGTGATTCAACCAGCTCTAGTGTTATACAACAAAATGCACACATTTTTTATTTGTTTGCTATTGATGTTATATATATTTTACAGAATTTTGTGACTTCCATGGGAGCGAGTACATGGAAATGCTGCTGCATATTTCAGTGCGATGGTTAAGCCGGGAGAGGTGTATTATTCAAATTCTGCAGCAGTATGAACCACTTAGGTAGGTTGCTTATTTAATTGACAATAGTACATTACATGAGACTAAATACTTACTTTTAAGCACAACCTGTATTTATTTGCAGATGAGAAACAACCCAGGTTTAGAAGGCTGGTGGATGCATTTTCCAACCCCCTGACAGAAGTCTATCTCCTTTTCTTCCAAGCAACGCTGCCAATGTTCTCCACACTGAACCTTCTCCTCCAGAGAGAAAAGTCCTCCATCTTCCTGCCAGGTAATGCTTTCAAGTCTCACAAGGAGATAAACCTGTGTGCTCATTGTCCACAAATACACTTTTTTGTGACGATTGTTGAGTTGAGTGAGATCTCTGATGTGATTGAAAAGGCATAAAATGTATATGTAGTCTATGGGTAAAACCCATAGATATTGTTGAAACTACCTGTACTTAATGTGCTTTATCTCTTTCTGAATGTTGGCTTCACCACCAGAGCTACCCTCAACAGGCTCCTGGAGGCTGGAGACATCACACCTCAGGAGGTGCAGCTATTCTAGCAGGCAGCACTGGTGTTTCTGATTAGGGCTGTGGAGTACAGCATCAAGAAACTCCCCCTGAAGGAGGCCCTTCTGAAGCACACTAAATTCCTGGATGTGCAGCAGAGGGCTGAGTGTGGGGTGGAAGCTGACCTATACTTTGTAGACAGGCAAGGGTTTCCACATTTTCCAGAGTTTCAACATATTCAATAAATTGTTTAGTTTAATGATGATCATGGTCACAAAACAAATCCTGTTTTTCTCCCACGGTATCTTTATCAGTTCTTTACACATGGTGCTCTCTTTTAGATTTCAGGAACTACTTCCTTTCCATTGGCCACAGGAACAGGACACAGTGAGTGAGGAGTTCCTGGAGTATCAACTCATGGAGATCCCCATGCCCCAAGATCCCACCACCTTTAATGTTGAGGAGTTTTGGGGGAGTATGCCCTCAACCAAGAGCAAGGTAAGAAATATTTGGCACCACCTGAGATACACATATTTAATTGACAAACATTTGAGTAATAGTTGGTTCTTTTTTTCCAAAGGTGACCGGTTTGAGCCAGTTTGGGAGGCTATTTAAGATAGCAGCATTAGTTTTAGTGCGCCCACACTCAAATGCGGACGCAGAGAGGGTTTTCTCCATGGTCGGCCTCAACAAGACCAAAACAAGAAACAGCTTGGCACTGAATGGAACACTTATGTCAATCATGACAGTCAAAACGGCGGGCCTGGAACCACAGTGTTTAAAAAGGGAGCCACCAAGCCCCTTGCTGAAGGCCTCCAAACCTGCCACTAACACCTACAATAAACAACACTAGCCATAATCACACACACACACACAATCTCCCACCAGGGAGGGCAGATAAGCACCCCTGCACTAAGAAATGCTGAGACAATAAATAGTTTTATTTGTACAAACTGATGTGTCTTTTATCAGATTTTACCGAATATGCCGCCGCAGCCAAAATCTCACTCTGAACTCAGTTCAAGACTTGAGAGCCCTCTGGCATGTTGTTGATACTAAGCCATAAAAGTATCTTTAATCAAATCAAAGTGCATATAAAGTGACATAAGTAGTCTTGTCATGTTTTGTGACTGTTGCTGCGTTGTCATTTGTATATTGTGAATATTGTTCTGCTGAGTAAAGTTTACTTGCTAAGTGTGCTAATTTATGTTGTAGCTAGCTGTAGGGTCTTGTGCACTTCTGTTTACATTCCAACGGCTAAATATCGTCGGCTTCGGTGTGTTAATTGTATTCCTATTTCAATGTATGGGGGCTGGAGCTGTGCTGTTTACCATCATCACCAATCATATGTTTGTTTGCCTGACAGGTATGTGTTGTATTTTCTGTATGGGAAAATGTTGTGGTCTGTTCATTTTATCAGTGCTGTAAAGCCTTTGCATAGAAGTGTAAACCTTTTTCATATAAAATCCTTAAAAAATAGATTCATGGCAGTTTATGTTACAAAACCAGATTATACATGCAGAAGCAGAGTAAACATTCATATTAGTGAACCTTTTATTTGTAATACAAATGTATTTTAATTTTTCTAACTAAGCTATATGATCACATTGTAAAAGTATTGTGTTGGTCCCTTTGGCTGGCTGATGATGGAGCTGTATGTTAACCATCATCACCAATCATATGTTTGAGTTTGCCTGACAGCTGTGTGCTGATGAATAAATGCCATGAACCTGAGAGAAGTTGTCACGTGATCTAGTCTGCTGAGAACCAGAATTGAGGTGTAGAAAGTGTATATGAAAACCAGTTCAAAAATCGAGCTTCTGCAGTGGTACACCAATTAAAGTGCAGGGACCAGAGTAGAGTTTGCTTTATTTCTCAACAAACTTGATTCCACTTGTGACAGGTATAGTAGTCAGATGATTTAAGTCTTAAAGAAAAAGGAAAACAATAATCAAATTACGTACTAACTAAACAATCTCATAAATGCACAAAATCATATATTTACACATCAAGTACTCACTCAAATAATGCATCTATCAGAGTCACAATAGAGTTGTCAGAAGCCTGTCATGCAGCTCAGCAGTGTGAAGCAAACAAAAGGAGTGAGCATGGCCTGCTGCAGGTGTGACCTGATTGGTTCAGACTAGGCTTAAAGGGGAAGTGGGATCTGCAACAGATATATACCGCTACTTCTGCCCAAAAAACTATATTTTTAATGTCAGTTCTGACAAATTATAATGTAGTGTTAGAAGAATAAATGTTAACTGAGAATTGAGAAGAACTATTACAGCCATACATTTTAAAGTCATGGCAGAATCTAATTCAGATGTATTTTTACAGTTTATCAATAATACCAGTAGAATTTTTTATTTCATAATCTAACCAATAAGATCACTTTTAGACAATAAAAACCTTTAGAACATTACTTAGGCTATAGCAAGTTAGAAAGTAAAACAATGCTGCTTGATGTCTGAAAGGTGCTTATATTACAAAGTTTAAATTATTTTTAAACTATGAGGAAATAGTTTATACAGTGATTATCTATCTCCCATTTTCAGGGTGTAAAACAAAGCATAGTTGTTTTAAGTTTTTATGGGTCATTTGTGTGATGGAGGTGTGGTTATAGATAGCCATTAACTTTATCCTTCTCTATCTAAGCTTTCCACACTTAATAGCTATCTAGTTATTGTTTATAATAACAATTTTCCTTCTCTGTCTTTACAATAGGCACACCACGGCCTGATTTCCGGCTGAGCCGGGAGGCCCTGGAAGTGCTGTGGGGCCTTCTAGGATCGGAGACATGGATGGGGTGCCCAAATTGAGACCCTGGTGTTCCTCTTCTGTCTGGCAAGTGGAACTTACAGGGTGGTCTCCAGAGCATTTGAGATTGTCCACCAGATGACTGAGGATGTGGTGGTTATTCGCCACCAGGTCATCTACTTCCCCACGACCCCCGCAGACCTGGAAGCAGTGTCCCATGGGTTTGCAGGGCTGGCAAGACACAGAGGCCCTTTTTCAAACCAACCCCTACACCCTCCCCCTCCGTGAAGGAGTGCACTCCGTTAGAAGTCACACTCTCAGCTGAATGAAGTCCCCTTCATCAAGGTGTAGGGTAGAAATACAGCGGCAGGCTTTGGGAAAAACTTCCCTCTCTCAGGTGGAAACAGGAACTGTGTGTTACCATGGTTACTCAGCGGTATCTTGCGGGAACAGCTTTTTTTGTAGCTAATGCATTCTGTAAAAATATTTATGTAGCCTAGATTATTAAGGCCCGAGCACGAACAGTGCGAGGACCTTCTTGAAACCCTAGGGATTTTTTTTATTTTTATTGTTCCGCCACTTTGCGGCCACTTTTGAGGGCCTGAACGTGCCCGAAAACTCACCAAACTTTCCAAGGTCATCAGGTCTCGTGAAAAAATTTATATTCTGGTGGTTTCGTAAACGCAGTTCGCAAAATGGCTCAGTGGCGCCCCCTTGAAATTTTCAAAATGGCCTCCCCATAAAGGGTTTTTTCACGTACACTCACGAAAATTGGTATGCATATTAAGCTTGTCAGGACGGACTAAAAATCCTCTTGCAGCATTTCAAAAAACCCGACAGGAAGTCCACAAATTAAAGTTGAATTTCACGATAATGGCCCAAAATTGCTCAAAATCGTCGATTTCGGCCTTCCTATTTGAACGCACTTGTCCGAGGCCGCTCATTCGATCAGCGCAATCTCAGTGTCAGTGTGTTCTAGACAGGCTCAACATATCTCGTTGTGCTCCGCACGTTATTTCGTCAAAGGGCGTGGCCGTGGTGTGTGTTTGAAGGTGCCAAAAAAGTAATTGCTTATATCTAGTGTTCAATCATATTAAAATTTCTCATGCATGATACGGGACTCGCCCTGAACACATCCATGATCGACATTTTTTGATTAGTCACAGCGCCACCACAACAGGAAGTTACTGCTTCTCAATTAGCATTACCCATTGCTACACGGTAGCTCATTTTCCCCTCAAAATTTGTGTGGACCATGCTAACACCTTGGCCATACAACACTTACAAGCTCAAATGCCTACGTCCAACGCTGTCGCCATACGGACGCGTCGCTCGCCATCAAACAGGAAGTAGTTTTTTCACGGGCTTAACATAGTCATACTGTCCCGAAACCTCATACATATAATCCTGGTAATAAAGTCAAACATGTTATACCGTTTAAGTGTGTGGGCGTGGCTTAATGGCTCAGTGGCGCCCCCTACAATATTTCAAACATTCAGCCCCCGCAGCACGTTGAACCTACAATTCTGAATTTTACTATGCATTTCCAACATGACAAAACCTACAAAAAAGCCTCTTCAACCCACGCCCAAAACTCAACAGGAAGTCCACAAATCACATCGCCATCAAACAGGAAGTGGGTGTAACTCTTATATACTTTGTCTGATCTTTTTGAAATTACATAGTTATGATCAGGGTTGGCCTCTGAACACATTGACATAACAATAGTCAACTTTAACCATAGCGCCCCATACTGCAAGGAATAAGTACTACATCATACATACTTTTTCGGATCTGCTTAAAATTTCCCAGGTATGATCAGGGTTGGCCTCTGAACACATTGACATAACAATAGTCAACCATTTAACCATAGTGCCCCCTACTGCAAGGACTAAGTACTACCTCCCATATATAATGTCACATTTTATTAAATTTTCACTTGAACCATCTCAGTACTGGCCTGCTCACATCTAACCTAATACAATTGGGCCACTGACATAGTGCACCATACTGGAAAGACACTGTACTACATCTCATATAGTTTGACTAATCTGCTCCAATTTTCACAGGTATAATCAGGGTTGGCCTCTGAACACAGTCACATAGCAATAATAAATTGTAACCATAGTGCCCCCTACTGCAAAGATTAAGTACTACCTCCCATATACAATGTCAGATTTGTCAATGTCAATGTCAATGTCAAAATTTCACATGAACAATGTCAGTACTGGCATAATACAATTATTCCATTAACATAGCACCCCCTACTGGAAAGAGGCGGTACTGCATCTCAGATACACTGGGTGCATCCGAATTGTCCCTCCTATCTCCTTTCACTATCCACTTTACCTTAACCCTGGAAGCATTTAAGTGGCGGCCATGATAAGAGCCGTTCGAATTCTCTAAAAGTTAAGGAAAGGTGGGTCAATGCTTCCTTTATAAACTCCTTTAGCATAGGATACACTGGACCATCCTTTACGAAAGGAGATGAGATTTGACGCCCCACAATGCCTTGCGGCCGCAACATTGACAGAGAGTCGCGCATCCGACTGTTCACGAACATTAACGATGATCGTAAAGTGACACAGATAATAAAAGGGATAAAAGATAAGAGACATTTTTATCAGATGATGTTTTATTCAACATATTTCATTCTCTTAAGAATGTTTTGTGCAGTTGTACATTTGTATGCTTAAAACATTATATGTCGGTTATATCTTACATTAATGTAACATTTAATTTCATATTTACTTTGATGTTGATTTCTGATTGGACAGGAAGCTAAAGGTTTCACTTTTGTTACTCGTAGCCTGGTAGTCTATATTTCTTTTATTTAAATCCCAACCTTGTAGTGATTAGGATTATTTCACCGGTAAGAAGGCACAGGGGAAAGTTTTTTAGATGCGTTTTTTGTAGTCCATTTTTGGAACATTGTAGTTTCAATACGGCAGACCCACGTCATTAACCTCCACCGGCCCGTCGCATTTAATGACGTCGCCTAGTGGAAAATGCGGTCAGATTGTCAGAGCAACGAGATCTCCTTTCGCTAAGTCCTTTATGAATTCTCCTAACATCTTTCCTTGACCTCATGACGTTTTCGCGGGGTTAAGGTAAAGTGGATAGTGAAAGGAGATAGGAGGGACAATTCGGATGCACCCACTGACTGACTGAGAGGAAGAGCGGAGTCACTGGCCGTATCCGAATTGCCAAGTACATACTGAATCTTTCAGTATGCAGTAGGCAGTATGCAGTATGTACTATCCGTGCCGCATACTGTTAGTACCTACTATTCAGTATGCGCGCACAGTAGGCAGATATTTGTGCCTACTTCTTCTGATTCATTCAGTATGGAAGTGATGTCATTTACGTTTCCCGAATCGGCCGCATCCACCCGTTTTTTTGTTTTTTTTTGTTTATCTTTATCTTTAAGAAGAGTAATGCGCATATACAATCAGGTAAACAAAAAACAATATCACAATGTAAATCAAGGAAAAGAAAGATTAAATAACTAAATAACATACAGTACATCCAGGAAAGTACAAATGAAAGACAGTAATATACAGAATGTAAAATAAACCAATAAAGACGCTTTTAAATAGTGAAATCATTATTTAAATAGAGGGGGAAAGGTTTTATAATAATGCAGATATTTGTTATATTGTCTGTTGTTAGTTAAAAGTAGTGATTTCAGTCGGGACTTTAAATTAAGATTAAAAATTGATTCAATTAATCCACACTCGTTTGTTTTGATTTGGAGGCGGACGTGACGATTTACGTTTGATTTCGCACAGCATTGTTGGTGGTAAAACACAATTCATTTCCTGAAAGCACGCATCCGATCCATACTGCATGAAACCCGGAAGTTAGTATCCATACTGAAATGTTCAGTATACTGTGCGGACCCAAAAAATGCATACTGAATGACCACGAAAGTTCAGTATACTGAAACTCCATACTGAATAGTACGTACTGCA